CGTGTCAGCATCCATTTTAATGAATGTTTTCGAAGATACTCTGTCAGTCAACATCCTTAAATCGTTACTTGCTGAATTTTTGCTGTGTCAGGACATTCTCGAATAGTCTCAATGGTTAGACAGGCAATTAAGTGAGCATTCGTCGTGAATGGCCCCAAGTATCTTGGAAATGAGTGATCAACCTCAGATCTGGTCCTCACAGCCCACAAGCAGAAGCCTGAGTCCTTGCCCCTGTGCACAGCTCTGCATACGGGGGAGTGGGCTAACGTTCACCTGTGTTGTGCTGTCTTAGCTCTTCAGCTTTACACCGTCATACGTGCCGGCAGGGAACATAGGTGTGCATATGTGTACAGAGGCGGGAAACCTCCACAAAATGGCCTGTGTCAGATAGTCAGCTTGCAGCTCCTAGGCTTCTGCATCTTATGCAGTTCCCAACAAAGAAAAAGACAGAAATCTACTACATAATGTGAAAAGCTTGTGCTCTGTATGTTGTTTGTCATGAGATCTCTGCTGTGTGTTTTTGGGAATGACGGTTATATGTATACAGTATGTAAGAGGTCATGCTGTTCAATGTTGCGTGAACCTAACAGATTCTCTAGTCTGGATATTTAACTTGTTATTGTAAAATGTGATTTCTCATTGAGAGATTATTTTTCTGTATGTATATGAGAGTATTTTAGGAATCTAATTTAAGTGCATAAACTATAGAAGAAACTTAAAAACGTATCCCAGGAGTAGTGATGCTTGATCAGGTCACTTGGATTTAACCCAACCAAATTTTATTAAAAAAACAAATCCAAGCTGAATGTTTAGGAATTCAAAAGTGTGCATTTTTTCCCTGCCTTGCAGGGGTTATAGTGTCAATAAATGGGTGGGGGCATGACAACATGGAGGGACCCTGTGGCCATGCCCTGGGATGAGATCACATCACACTCCAGGTTACCGCATACAGACGTCATGTTCTGAAGAGTGAGATGTATGGCCTGCCTTCCAACAGACCTGGTGCCACAGGCCGAGGGCTCTGGTCAGCAATGTGGCCTGGTCAGAGGATTCAGGAGCATTGGGGGAGGCCACACCCTGGCTGCAGCTTCTCCCACCATTGGGAAGTTGACCGGGATGGAGGTGGGCAGAGGCCGCGCCTGGGTTTTCTAGGCTCAGCTGTTTGCAGGATGAGCAGCCTCCTGAAGGCCCCGGCTGAAGCAAGAGGCCTGACTTCCCTACTCCACTCCCTCCCCAGAAATATATCAGACGTTCAGGATGCTCCTGAGTACCGATGGTCTACACTTGACCACAGGTATGTTCCTTCAGGTGACCCAGGGACGGTTCATGAAACTCAGCATCTAACCTCTCCCCTCTGACCCCTGTGGTGACCCTAAATCCAGCTGCACCCACCTGATCAGAAATGCTTCTGGATTAAGAGCCGGTTTCTGGTGACTGATCACAGCAGGAAATCTAGGGGCCACCATTTTGAAGGACAAGCAGGAGTGTAGATGGGCCAGCCCTTCTTTCAGTTGTGCCTCTTACCACTGCCAGCTCTCTGTCTTGATAACCCTGTACGGGTGGGTGCTGCAGTCAAGCGATGTCCTGCCTGAGCAGTGCAGGCGCTTTGCTGCAGGATGCTGTCTGGACTCTGCTAAGGCTAGAAATGACTGTCTTCTGTAGCTGCCTCTAGTCCCCAAGATGGGGCCCCTTGGAGAGCTCTAGCAGAGTAGCCTGGGAAAGCCATGTCAGGCCAGTGTGCAGAACCACACAAAGCCTGGCTTCTCTGTCTGCATAAACCCTGTTCCTTCTCTCCTAGAATGATGCCCCCTGGGCTGGCGTGGCCATAGGTTGTGAAGATAAACGAGCCAGACAACTCTCCCTGTCCTGGCTGTTCTAGACTGCAGACAATCCCCCATGGCATCGGTTGCCTCTGTGATCACTGTGGTGGACCACGATGCTGGTAGCATGCAGCTAGCTCCTTCACAGCCATGCCCAGTGGCAGAACTATGCCACTCTCCCGATGGCTGTCCGGTTCACTGTAAAGTGTACTTGTTGCTAAGTAACAGTATTTTTCACAAAAGGATTATACTGTCTGTTTTATAACAATAATGGAGTTCTACAGATTATTAGGCATTATTGTAAGTTATAGAATTCCACATTTGTGTAAAGTTTGCTGAGGCAGGGTCACATAAGCTTCTTTTCTGTTTGTTTAAAAGCAGGGATTTTTTTGTTGTTGTTCTTTTGTTTTTGTCTTGTTTTTGATGTCTGGACACCCTTCAGGCCCTCATTACATGAGAAATGTAGTTTTCACGATTTAGATGACAGCAACAGGGCATTGTCTGCTCCCTTTGCCCAGTGGCGATATTAGTAGGACTCGCCAGGACTGGGCACCTCATTCTCTGGTCATTTTGACCTGTGTGGTTTAAACCACACGGCTCATGATAAAACAACAGCGGACCTCACCACCTCAAATTATTATTTGGAGCTCTTTCTTCCTCCACTTCTTTGCTGACACACAGGATGCTAACAGCCCTGAAAACAAGTCTTTTCCTATGCCTATTTCTCAGAGATAAGGTTGAAGTTGTACAAGTAAAATGATGTAAAAATAAATCTAAAAAACAAACCATGGCAGCCACCACCTTTTCAACTGCCGTGCCCTCAGTTAGCTCTGAGACAGATTCCTTGTGTTGAGCATTCCTGAGAACACGAGAAATTCTGCATTGTATATCATGAGAAATGCTGAGAAGTCGCGGGGGCGTGCGCCAAAGAAACCTAGAAAGCCCAACAGGAGAAACAAACCCCCAGAACACTCCCTAGAGACTCTTGTATATGAACGGCTTTTTGCTCTTTGGCTAGGTCACACGGAGCTGTCTACGGTCGGCTGTATCCCCCTTCCTCCTGCCTCACACCCCAAGGCTGGCTTGGACGTTAAACGCATGATGCCTTCACGAGCTTTGTTCTGTATACCCAGCACAGGGTTTTACTTGTGTACTACTTAGTAGCTAACATACAAGGGCTGTTCAATTGCACAACTCCAAGAAACCTCAGCTCTTGTCTTCCAGTGTGCTTTTGAGAGCTGTTTGTCTATCCCTTCATTTACCCTATTTGTCCTAAGAGCCAAATGGCTGCATTCCAGTATATATATATATAAAATTTAGAACTTTCTATTATCTAATTATATGGGGGGGGGTCAGGTATGTCTACACAGGTGCACTTTGCCTGCAGAGGCCGAGGTGTGGAGCTCCTGGAGTTACAGGTGTGAGTTGTGAGTTGCCTGATGTGGGTGCTGTATTAGAATTCAGGACTTCTGGAAGACCTGCGCTTTTCACCACCGAGCCATTGCTCCAGCTCTGTTTTGATGTTTTGTTCTGCCTTTTGCTTTGTTTTCTTGAGACAGGGTTTCTTCGGGTACCCCTGGCTATACTGTAAGCCACACTGGCCTTGAATTCACAGAGATCTACCTGCCTCTGCTCCCAGGTGTTGGATTAAAGGGTTTTTGTTCTGCTTTTTGAGATAGGATTTTGATGTGCATCCCAGGCTGACTTCAGAATTCATGATCTTCCTGCCTCAGACTCATGGCCAACCTCATCTACAGACTTCTGGGCTACTGTATGCCATAGCACAAAATGATCTTGGGCAAGGCTTTGGTGTTATGTCTGGCAACCTCATGAAGCAAAGCTTGTGTGCTATTTTGTGTGCTTCATGGAGGATTGTGAGATAATCTGTGCATCAGTGGTGCTGTATGAGCCTTGGAGTTCTAGTGTGTGTGAGACTATCCTGGTCCTCAGGAGCAAGCTGGGAGGAAGGCAATGCCTCTTGGGAAGGTGGAGAATGGAGAGGTCACACTCAGCAGGAGAGAAGAGCCCAACAGTGTGGAACAGAACCAACAGGGGTTTCGCTCTCCCCTGTGGTAAAATTCTGGGCGTCAATGAGAAAACTTGGCATGGCGACAGTGCCTGAAGCCTGGCTGCTCTGGATCCCGCCATTCGCCAGTTGGAAGAAATGACCTTTGAACTGCCAGGAACCTGGACACACTCCACGTCCTCTTTTCCGTTTGCTAAGACTTAGCCTGTGGTAAGGCACTTCAAAGGAGGTTGGCCAACACCAGTCACTAGCTTCGGTCCAGGCTTACAGCACATCTTAACTGCGGACAGGTCAGCTATCGTCTTGGCATTGGCTCCCGGAAGAGCACTGAGTCCTGCGCCCTCTGGTAGGCAGGATGGGCAGGGAGAGGGCAGCTAGTGGAGCCCGGCCGTCCCTGGTATCTAAGACTCCCTAGCTGAGGCACTCACACCATCAGCAGCCCTCTGGAGAAGCAGTCCGTCTGCTGGGCAAATGCTCTTGGGCACAGCCCAGGAGGGGCCATTGGTCATCCAGAGAGCTCTGGCTCCTCCAGCAGCCCCAGAGACAGGCTTTGGGATGGACGGACATGTGGCAGCTGTTTGGCTCCAGGTGCACCGGGAGCATCTCAGGGACAATGTGAGAAGGGACACGAGGACTTGTGTGTTAGCCTGGCTGGTTGGTTTCAGCAGTGGTCAGTGTGCCATCTGTCACAGGCGAACAAGCATGAGATGGGGATTGCAAAGCAGACCTTGCTTTCCCACCACCCTGCCTAGCCACGTCACCGCAAACAAATGCCATGTGTAAAACGGGATACCTGTTTTAGTATATCACAAGATTGCTAGACTTCCTGAGAGGTGCACAATGTGGCTTTGAAAAGTAGAGCATCCTCTGGTTAAGGTTTGTATAAGGACCAGAGCTTTCAGTAGGGAGGCCTCCTTCATGATTGGTCAGGGACCAGTTCTCAGCCACCCCTCAAAGACATGGGATTTGGCAGGCAGTACCAGACTGTATGTAGGTACAGTGTTATTTAATCAAGGAATTCCTGAGATTAACATACACAAACCAAATCCTACAGCCCAGAGGGCTTCCTAACCGTAAGACTGGGGGAGGGGGTAGCCTGCAGGACAACGAAGACCTGGTACTGTAAATCCCTTGAAGGACAAGAACTTGGAGCCCTCTGTTCAGGAAGCGTTTTATTGTTGCTCCAAGGACCAGAGCTCCCACAAGTGACACAGACTTCATAGCAAGTCCCGCATGGCCTTGCTGAGCTTCTGAATCTTGGTCTTTGTAGACATATCTACGTATTTCTCCCCAATTTGGACAATCATCCCACCCATGATTGACGGGTCAGTCTAGGAAAGAAAACAGGTTGCAAATATGAAAATGTGGGATTCTATCATCACGTGGGTAGATGAAAAACCCTGAGGAGGCCCACTAAGACAGACAAACCACCCACAACACTGACAGGAACGATGCAGGGTCAGAACCCAAGCTCTGCCTTGGCACCTCACTTCCCACAGCCATTGCCAAGTCAGACAGTGCAAGGGACCAAACCCACCTTAACCTTCAGGTTCAATACTTGGCCTTTGCCCAGGAAGCTCTTCAGCACCGTCTTTAACTCAGAGAGAACAGCTTCATTTAAAGCCTGAAAAAGAACAACCACCCTTTAAAAAGAACACAACAGCACAGCAGGGTCACTTAAAGGAGAGGGAAACACTACAGTGGCATGCACCACCAAGATAGGCCCGTGATTCCTGCCTCTGTGTGTATGTCTGTCTGTGTGTATGCCTGTCTTTCGGGGGGTGGAGGGGCACTAGGGAGCAGACACACCACAACCTACCCGCCCCAGGTCCACAGGCGCCCTTAAATACCCAACCACAATCTGAACAAGGCCAGGGTCTGCACACAGCAACATCTACTCTTGTTTATGCACCAACCAGCCTGCCTGTTTTGGCTGAACTATATTACCAAGGAAAATATATTCTTTAGAAAATAAGATTACTTGTAAGAAGGTAATATAATGTAAACAGAGTAGACTTCTTGACTGTAAAATAAGGACAAGAACACTTCACACCCATCTTCTGAGAGCAGTAACAGATTACAAGGTCCCCAGCAGACGGCAGTGCCAACAAATGGTGGCTAGTTACTGCACTGCATTCCAGCAGGTCACAGGGCCTGTGCACCCCAACCCACAGGTTAAATATTCCTATTCTAGAACAATATGGCATTTAAGAATTCAGGCCATAAGCGGACCCAAATCACTGTTTCATACAACACCTAGATGTCCTGTCAGTGCAGCCAGGATCCCATGACTGATAACTAATAAGGCATACACTGGCCTTCCAGATAGAGGCTCACAGAAAGCTCCCTGGTGACAAGCTACATTCCCTGTGCAGCAGCTAGGGCCACTTACAGATGCTGTGGTCACCATGCAGGGCACTTCTCCACGGTGGACACTCATGATGGTGGAAAAGGCAGAGATGATGCCATGGGTATTGTCTAGGCGACCGTTTTCAGCAAGTAAATCTGGGGAAGTGACAGGAAACTCACACAATCATACTGAAGCATTGTCAACTGTAGCCTGAAAACACCGTATTCAAAGTCCATTGTGGCTATGAACGGGGTCTGGGGAGATGGCTCAGTGATTATGAGCATAGGGTGTTGCTCCTGCAGAGAACCCAGGCTCAGTTCCCAGTACCCACATGCTGGCTCACAACCACCACAACTCCAGTTCCAGGGGATCTTATGCCCTCTTTGACTTACTGGGGCACTGAGCTCTCTCTCTCTCCCATCTCCCTCCCCACACTTACTCATGAGGTTGGCGGTCAGCGGAGAAAGCTTCTCCTTTGCTGTGATGTCACTCAGGCTTTTCACTTTGATAGAGCGCTTGACATAGGGATTCAGAACGGCAAGAGACACCTTGGGGTCCTTCAGGAGTTGCTGAAAGTGCACACAGATCCCACTTTATGTTCATGACTTGTCCACAGGATTAAAGACATTCTTTTTTCTTTTTCTTTTTCTTTTTTTTTTAGTTTTTCAAGACAGGGTTTCCCTCTGGCTTTGGAGGCTGTCCTGGAACTCGCTCTTGTAGACTAGGCTGGTCTCGAACACACAGAGATCCACCTGCCTCTGCCTCCCGAGAGCTGGGATTAAAGGCGTGCACCACCACCGCCAGGCTAAAAATACCTTATGAAGTTTCTTCCATGTATTTCTAAGAAATCATTAGAAATTAAGCACCCACAGCCTCACCGTCTATCGTACCTTGTGGGACAAGGTGAGCCCTGTTTGCCTCAGCACACCACCCCCCATTTACACTGAGGTCTCTGTCTCAGGAATCCCTGATTGTGCCCTCTCTTACAGAGTCCCCAGACAAACTTATCTGTGAGATTCTGGCCTGTGTGGGAGAGAGAACAAAAACCACAGCAATGCTGGAAATCCATTTTATCCCCATTTTGCTAACTCACAAGCATGACTTCAGTAACCACCCGCAGCTCGGCACCTGCTGACCGTAGTCAGCACCAGGCCAGAGGTCAAGGACAGACACCATCCAGTCACACATCTCCGGCCAGCTGCTCCCCAGCACCTTACTGGCTCCTAGCCAGAAATTAGTCCACTGCCACGCAGTGCTGACTTCAGCTAGGATCTCCGCTTGAGTAGCCGCACAGAAGGGTCTTTACAAATATGTCCCTGGGGTTAGGGCTACCCACCTTCTCATGCTTCGCCTACCAAAATACAGTAGATACTTAATGTGACATTTCTCACCACCCCCATCTCAATATAGAACCTCAGATAACTGTCTCCTTCTCTAGTGAGAGAGAGAACACAGAGAATATACCATGGTGAGCATGTGCAGACCAAAGAACAACTTGGCCAGAGCTGGTTCTCCTTCCACCACGTAGGTCCCAGAAAATGAACTCAGGTGGTCATGCTTGGTGGCAAGTGTCCTTACCAAGGAGTTATCTTGTCTGCCCAAACCCATGATAATGTCCACCACCAAAATCACCACCTTCACGGTGAACAGGACCACTTGGCTCAAAGAGAGCTTAACTGACCACCACATAGAGTGATCACCAGCACAGGGCCTGTATGCTCCAGTCAATGCCTCCCACAGGGTCTCCAACAGGAAGTCAGGCCCAGACAAGCTCCTGGGTATCATCCGCAGACGAGGAGGGAGGATGGCTAAATATTTTATAAACGGAGAAGCTTAAGGCGAGTGAATGAGATGAGCAGTTCCCATGTGGTGGTCTATCAGAACACCGTGCTGGCCCGGACAGCTGGATTGCTTTCTTCAAGAGATGTGGATTATAAAACACACACTATTCTTACAACATGTAACTGAAAAAAACGTCCTTTCTCTGGAGTCACCATGCTCGCCCAACTCCTCTAAGAGAGTGCTCCCCCAGAGCGGAGTCTCTGATTTAAATCACACTTGGTTTGTGCTAACTCACAAGGTGATTTTCCCTCTTTTCTCTGCCTTTCAAAACAAAACGCAGAGAGAAATTTCCTTTCCTAGGTGGCTTTGGGCCTATCAGTTCTGTCTCTGATTCTGATGCTGACACCTAGCCCTGACTTGGTTACCCAGCAGCCTCTGCTTAGCCATTCTTCTTCTACATCTTGGAAACAAAGTAGTTACAAACTCCCAGGAAGGGCAGGATGGCCCAGTGGGCAAAGGCATTGGCTGCCAAGGCGGCTGACCTGAGTTTGAACCCCAGAGCTCACAGGGTAGAGGGAAAGGACCTGAACTCTACACTCCCGCTGGGTATGCTCAACACTCTCCAATTCCCAATAAATAAGGAATGTGATAAAAAAAAAAATTTAAACCCAGGAAAAGTTTCTGAAGAAACTTTCATGAAGAAATACAATTTTAGTAAAGTGAAAATATACTCAAAGGACATTTGACTATTGTAGGTTTATAAACATAAACTTCACCTTCTAAACTGGCAAGTGTTTTTAGACTATACTTGATTTGATCGTCCCACTGGAAAGCTTGAGTTCATGATGTTAATACATTTACGTGTCTCCTAGCCCGTAACAGTAGTTTCAGATAATAAAGTAGCCTTATTATTAAATAGCATGTCTACAGTAAACTTTTTTTTTTTTTTTTTTGTAGTTTCTGGTGGTTCTTTTTACAGGTGATGCCCCATCAGGAAGGCACAGCTAGAACTGAAGGCAGACTGTCGGGACAGGAACAGACACTGACAGACAAGACAACTACTCACGCCCACACGCAGCAGCTCCTTCTCCACCTGGTCCAGCTTGTTCTGTTTAACTGCAGCAGAGTAAAGGGCAGTAGCATAGCGACCCTCGATGCCATATATCTGAACCGGGGGCTGGAGACAAAAAGTGGGAAGGGAGGAAAAGAGGAAGACAGTTAAGTCAGGAACAGAATTATTTATAACTTACATTTTCCTATTTGCCAAACCATTTAAATACTTCACCGAGGAGTACTCTCTAAATGAGAGTTCACATGCTAGGGACATCTCCGCCAACACTTTCTACCTCTGGGGGAGCAGAGAAGACACAGTGTCCCATGTCTCTTCCAGCTCTGCCTACCTGCAATTGTTTACAATAAGTTTTTGCTTTCTTGAACTCAGTAAGTAACCAGGCAGTCGCTAAGCATGGAGGGGTCAAGTACTAATGGTTCTGAGGACAAGCAAAGCAGGAGAGCACGGCACAAGTGCACACTCCCCCAGCACTGTGACGGTATTTTAGGAAGTTCAGGAAGAATAACTTGGCTCCATTCACAGAGGTCTTAAGGAATTTGTTGCTGCTGAGACGGATGCAGTGTGTAAGTTCCACCCAATGTTTCCCAATGCATTCTGTTCTGCTGGAGAGCGAATGACAGCCCAGAATATCTTTAGACCTGTAAGCTAAGAAAGCTAAGTAGACCCTGTCAACTAGTAATCAACGGATTACAACATAATCCCTGTACATTCGGCCATATACAATCTGTATTGGGTAACGGGGCTGAAGTTGTCTGCATCAAACACACTTCAGACTTAAAAAGAAAGGGGATGGCAGGCCTTTGCCATGGTGAGACTATTGGTGAAAGGCTAGCTCGTCTATAGAGGAGTACCAGGAAAAACAATTCTTTTTTTTTTTGAGACAGGGCTTTTCTGTGGCTTTGGAGGCTGTCCTGGAACTAGCTCTTGTAGACCAGGCTGGTCTTGAACTCACAGAGATCCTCCTGCTTCTGCCTCCCGAGTGCTGGGATTAAAGGCGTGCACCACCAATGCCGGGCTTAAAATTCTTTTATACATAACACCCTGTTTGTGTGTGCATGTGCCTGTGTGTGTGTGAACAGAGGACAGAAGACAATTTGCAGGGTCCTTCCTTCCACCTTATGGGTTCCGGGGATTGAACTTAGAGTCACAGGCTTGTCACCAGGAGCCTTTACCCGAAGAGCCCTCTTGCTGGCCCAGAACAGATTTTTAAAACACTGAAGGTTAGGGCTGAGCCCAGCCCTCCTACCCCAGGCACTCATTTGGGAATTGCTAATCCTGCAGAGAAAAGGTCAGTAATCACACAGCTAACTGTATTTCTGTTTAACACAGGCCCTCACTGGCTTTCCAACCGCAAAAGAATGTTAGGTTAACGTACCCTCACAAGTTTGGCAAAGGGCCTGACCACGGATGTACTGAAGCTCCGTACCTTCAGAACAAAAGAAAAGAAGTCAAATGGGGTTATGGGAAGGATTTCTGCATTAGCTTAGCAATATGTTATAAATGATTAGTTGCATCTATGCCTTTATGTTATCAATAATGCTCCTTATAACCTATAAACAAGTCATCCCGAATTGATTTGGAAACTGACTTCCCACCCCCTTCCCCGCTGGACGGTTGAGAGAGAAAAATGCTAACTTCCCCAAATTTAATTTTCAAAAAAAAAAAAAAAAAAAAAAAAAAGGGTCGGGGGAACCTATTACCTGTGAGAAAAATTTTAACGAAAGTGGGGGGATTCTAGTCATGACTCAAGAAGTGCTATCTAAGACCAAAGACCAACTCTCTGATTACTGGATGTGGCACCGGGCTCCAGGTGTCCAGAGGTGACACGGTGTCTGTCAGGGGAGAAGCCGGGACTCCACAGCTTAGAAAGCACCTCTCAAGGGTACAGACCACGTTAATACCCCCCCCAGCTCTGGGAGGTACCGACCAGAACAGCCGTGGCTATCCGCGGGCTCCCAACGCCTTGGTAAAAGTCACGTGCGCTGCAAACCAAAGCATCCCAGCGGAGGACCCAGGCTCGCCCACTTTATTTACTTTCCACCCATTCCGGGCTCCAGTGTCATCCCGCGTGCTGGTGGCGGCCAGCCCAAGAGGGGACGCTTCGTTACCCTTTTCACTTCCTCACCAGCACAGGCTGGCCCACAGGCTGACCCACACACAGGCTGACACACACACACACAGGCTGACACACGGGCTCACACACAGGCTGACACACTCAGGCTCACACACACACAGGCGGACACACACACGGGCTCACACACACACAGGCTCACACACACACACACACTGACACACACACGGGCTAGCCCCCACACAGGCTCACACACACACAGACTGACACACACACAGGCTGACACACACACACAGGCTCACATACAGGCTGACACACTCAGGCTCACACACAGGCTGACACATACAGGCTGACACAGACTGACACATACTCAGGCTCACACACAGGCTGACACACACACAGGCTCACACACAGGCTGACACACACACTCACACACACACGGGCTCGCCCCCACACAGGCCAACACACACCCCCTCCCTGACACACACACGGGCTGACACACACATGGGCTAGCCCCCACACAGGCTCACAAACACACGGGCTAGCCCCCACACAGGCTCACACACACACAGACTGACACACAGGCTGACACACAGGCTGACACACACACACGGGCTAGCCCACACACAGGCTCACACACACACAGGCTGACACACAGGCTGACACACAGGCTGACACACACACACAGGCTCACACACAGGCTGACACACACACGGGCTAGCCCCCACACAGGCTCACACACACACGGGCTAGCCCACACACAGGCTCACACACACACAGGCTGACACACACACGGGCTAGCCCCCACACAGGCTCACACACACACGGGCTAGCCCACACACAGGCTCACACACACACAGGCTGACACACACACAGGATGACACATACTCAGGCTCACACACAGGCTGACACACACACAGGCTCACACACAGGCTGACACACACACAGGCTCACACACAGGCTCACATACGGGCTCACACACGGGCTGACACACAGGCTGACACACACACAGGCTGACACACAGGCTGACACACACACGGGCTAGCCCACACACAGGCTCACACACACAGGCTGACACACACATGGGCTGACACACACAGGCGGGCTCACACACAGGCTGACACACACACAGGCTCACACACAGGCTGACAC